GATAGATAGATAGATAGATAGATAGATAGATAGATAGATAGATAGATAGATAGATAGATAGATAGATAGATAGATAGATAGATAGATATTTGCATAAATGCTGAATCAGCACTCAGCTAAAAATTAGGCTTGTTGGTTTATTGCATTAAAACAGCTCTGCTCTGAAGAAGCAGCTCAAAGCAGGCCCAGCAGGAGTTTTTACTTGCTTCACTGCTGTGGTCTGTGTTTGGAGTTTCCCAGAAGAAACGGGATATATCCTGAGACCGCTGCCCTTCCTGTCATTCTCCTCCATCTGGTTTCCATCAGGACATGCTGCTGCGCTGCAAAAGGTTCTCCCCGGAGAATAAACACACATCACTCTTTCTCCTAGACTCAAAAAAGGTCAGCTTCATTTATTTATTCAAGCCAACTGGATTTAGCAGCAAATAAAAGTATTTTGATAGGAAGTTAACTTTTAAATTAAAACACGTAGAGCTAATGTTTCCTTTTCTAGCTTTTATTTTGAAACTCATGCCAGCCTGGGAGAATTAGAAACCTGTCCATGTATGGGAGAACTGGTGGGGCCAGTCTGCCTGTGCCCAGCTTTGTTATTTAATCATTAAACACTAAAACATAATGATTATATGCAACATAGTGTTTATAGAGTTCAATTGACCAAGAGGCTCCAGTGACACGAGTCAACCCTTCACACACAAACACACCCCTCATGTACTGTTTAACACAACTTCATTCACCTGTTAGTGGTGTGATTGTGGCGGAGGCTCACACCTCGATGGATTGTAAAGGAGTTCTGCTGTTCCCGAGCCAAACCACGCCCTCCTTAGATCAATGCTGTAAAACTTTCACTTTAACTTGTTYTGGCTGTGCAGCTGCAGAAATACATTCAGATTTAGGGGTTGTATTCCTTCAATTGGCACGAGGCCCAGTCAGACTTTACAAATGTATGGATCAAAAATGATAATTATTCTAATCTAAATCTTGGTTTAATTTTTATTGTATTTACATCATAACTAAACTATCATAACTAATATAACTAAATTAAATACACTTACAGTTTAAAAGTAAAACTCCTGTCAAATAATCACAAGACATGATTATGACAAACATTTTTTAGTGCAACCTGCCCATAAAAGTTATTTGAACAAATACAAAGGTCAGTCAACAGACCACTGAGGCTTATCAGCACAAATACATATATATTTTTTAATATAAACAATAACAA